TCAGGAACCTCGAGATCATGACCTAAGCCGAAATCAAGAATCTGAAGCCTAGGGTGACTGGGTGGCTCAGTCAGTTAAGCGTCTGACTTGAGCTTAGGTCGTGATCTCACGGTCCTTGAGTTTGAGCCCTAGCATCGGGCTCTGTGCTGACAGCTCAGAACCTGGAGCCTGTTTCGGATTCTGTGTCTCCCTCTCTCTCTGCTCCTCCCCTACTTGCGCTCTGCCTCTCAAAAATGAATAAACGTTTAAAATTCTTTTAATTAATTGTTTAATGTTCATTTATTTTAGAGACAGAAAGACAGAGCACAAGTGGGGGAGGGGCAGAGAGAGCCAGAGACAGAATCTGAAGCAGGCTGCAGCCTGAGCTGTCAGCACAGAGCCTGACGTGGGGCTCGAACCCATGAACCATGATATCATGACCTGAACTGAAGCCGGACACTTAATTGACTGAGCCACCCAGGTGCCCCAAAAACTTAAAAAAAAAAAGAATTGGAAACCCAACCAACTGAGACACCCAGGCACCCCGAGTTGACAAATCTTGAAGCATTCAATTCACGAAGGCAGAAATGGACAAAAGAACATAGGAGGAAGAAATTAATAAAAATTAAACAGAAAACATCATGAAATATAAAAATATAAAACAGTGGAGATGGCCAAAAAAGCCAAAACTGAATTTGAAAAATAAGTACAATTGACAAGTGTTTGGTAAGGCAGAGGGTAAAAAACAGAGATGCCACCTCAAGACCAGACCTTTTTCTCTCTCTCAGAAAATAAATAAACTTGGGGAAAAAAAAAAAAAGCAATTATAGGGGCACCTGGTTGGCTCAGTGGGTTAAGCATCCAACTTCAGCTCAGGTCATGATCTCATAGTTCATGAATCCGAGCCCCGCGTTGGGCTCTGCGCTGACAGCTCGGAGGCTGGAGCCTGCTTCCAATTCTGTGTCTTCTGCTCTCTCTGCCCCTCCCGCACTTGTTCTCGTTCTCTCTCTCAAAAATAAATAGATATTTTTAAAAATTAAGAGAAAAAGAACAGATCCCCATTTTTCTGGCATTTGGCAGGACTCCACGGCTTCCTGCCCACACTCCCTAAGGTTGAGACCTGTCAGTGGACACTTCCTGCCCCCATCCTAGGGAAATAACCTCTCAGGAAACAGACTCCCGTGCACCACAGTAGAGCAGCTCCACAACAGCCACCTGCCACAGTGCTTTATTCTTCAGTATAAATGCCAGTTAAGAACTGCTAGACATTTGAGGAAAACCGAGAAAATCTTAAAGCATATCTTTCCCTTTCCTTCTTTCTGTTCTTAAAAAAATTTTTGAAATTTTTATTTTTGGGAGAGAGACAGAGAGAAACAGAGAAAGAAAGTGATCAGGAGAGAGGGACAGAGGGAAAGAAGGAGAATCCCAAGCAGGCTCCATGCTCAGCACATGTGGGGCTTGATCCGTGGCTGTGAGGCACAAGCCGAGCCAAAATCAAGAGTCAGATGCTCAAACAATGGAGCCACCCAGGGCCCCCCTTTCTTTTTTCTTTTAGTGTGTTTTTTTTTTTTTGAGAGAGAGACAGACAGAATGTGAGCAGGGGAAGGGTAGAGAGAGGGAGACACAGAATCTGAAGCAGGCTCTAGGCTCCGAGCTGTCACACAGAGCCTGAAGCGGGGCTTGAACTCACAAGGGGTGAGATCATGACCTGAGCTGAAGTCAGACGTTTAACCTACTGAGCCAACCAGATGCCCTGCCCCTCTTATTTCTTATTTATTTTAAAAAATTTTTAAAGTTTATTTATTTATTTTTAAGAGAGAGAGAGAGAGTGAGAGAGCAATCACAAGTGAGGGAGGGACGGGGATAGAGAGGGAGACACAGAATCCGAAGCAGGCTCCAGGATCCAAGCTGTCAGGACAGCACCCTACATGCAGCTCAAACTCACAAATGGGCACCACCCAGGTGCCCCCCTCTTTCTTTTTTTAAAAGAATCTTTAGGTTTTATTATTTTTTATTTATTTTTATTTAAAGTAGACTTCACATCCAGCATGGAGCCCAGTGTGGGGCTTGAACTCACAATCCTGAGATCAAGACTGGAGCTGAGATCACAAGTCAGACATTTAACCAACTAAGCCACTCAGGTGCCCCAAAGCACTTCTAATTACTACTCTATAAAAACATGCTAAGAGGGGTGCCTGGGTGGCTCAGTCAGTTAAGCATCAGGTCATGATCTCATGGTTTGTGAGTTCAGGCCTGTATCAGGAGAGCTTGAGCCCTGCTCCGGGTGAGCTCAAGCCCCTCTTCAGGCTCTGTACTCTCTCATGCTCTTTCTCTCAAAAATAAATAAATAAAGTAAATAAAAATAAAAAAATAAATTAAATAAAAATTCTTAAAAAAAAAAAGCACGCTAAGGAATGAGAGGGCATAGAAAAAGAGAGGAAGAAAGTGCTTTTGGAAATTTAAAGAATCTCTAAATACCTAATTGTCAAGGGCTTGAAGGTAAAGTTGAGGAAATCTCCCAAATACTGAATAGAAGAAAATGTCTAAGGATTTAAGAAAGGCATGTATTCAGATGTAAACTGTCTGCGTACTGCTAAGCAGAATGAAGTGGGGGGTGAAACTTCAGAACAGCAGGAATAGAGAGAAGAATCTATAACCTTTGGAGAGGGAAACAGATTACTCAAAAAGGAATAAAAATCAGACATCTGTCAGCAACATGGAATGATGAAAAATAATAAAGCAATGACTAGAGAATAGCCAACCTAGATTAAGTAATGAGCCACAGGAGCTCAGGATCTATGGGGAAAAGGGGGATTCTATGTAGTAGGTTTTAAAGAAGAGAAGATAAAACAATTATTTGGCAGTGTCCCTACTGACAAGGACCTGCTCAATCACTTTCTGCAGGAAGGGTAAGTTGGTACTGCCCTTCTGGAGGGAAGTATGGCTGTAGAACCTAGACTTTTCTTTTTTTAATGTTTTATTTATTTCTGAGAGAGAGACAGCATGAGCAGGGGAGGGTCAGAGAGGGAAACACTGAATCCGAAACAGGTTCCAGGCTCTGAGCTGGCTGTTAGCACAGAGCCCGACGCGGGGCTCAAACCCACGAACCGTGAGATCATGACCTGAGCGGAAGTCGGACACTCAACTGACTGAGCCACCCAGGCGCTCCGAACCTAGACTTTTAAAGCACGTCGACCTTCTGACCCAGCAGTCCATTAATGGAAATTTTACACTCAGAGAAGTATAGAATTATGTATTTTTAAATTACATATTATAAGAATTATATATATACACGTGTATATATATAAAGTTATGTATTTCACCATAGAACTGTCTGTTAATAGCAAAAACTGGAAAGCACCATAAATGTCCCAGGGATAAATGACCAGAGGTACAGCCATAAAATGGGATACTCAACAGCCTTTATAAAGACAGAGGTATTTTTAAGAGGCACTAATATGGACAGGTGTCCATGACATGTGGTTAAAAGCAAAAAGCAAGTTGCACAGAACAGAGGATTGTGCCATTAGGCAGTGCATTAACAATGATAATAATGAATATTCATACATCTAAAGGAAAAATTCTGTTTCAGAATATAACCTAAACTATCAACAGTTATTTTGGAGGTGATAGGAATTATAAGAGACTCACTGCTTTAGACATTTCTGTATTATTTAATTTTTTTAAAGTTTATTTATTTATTTTGAGAGAGAGCGAGCGCGCGCGAGCATGAGTGGGGAAGGGACAGAGAGAGAGGGAGAGGTTGCCAGCATGGAGCCCAACACAGGACTTGAAATTCAGGAACCGAGAGATCATAACCTGAGCTGAAACCAAGAGTCGGACGCTCAACTGACTGAGCCACCCAGGTACCCCTGTATTACTTAATTTTTAATAACTTCTAAAATATGTTTTATTTATTTTTGAAAGAGAGAGAGAGACAGCGTGACCAGGTAAGGGCAAAGAGAGAGGGAAACACAGAATCTGAAGCGGGCTCCAGGCTCTGAGCTGTCAGCACAGAGCCTGACGTGGGGCTGGAATTCATGAACTGCGAGACCATGACCTGAGAAGAAGTCAGATGTTTAACTGACTGAACAACCCAGACACCCCTGTTTAAGTTTTTTATACAAGCACTTTGCAGTAGTCATAATCAGGAACATAAAGTAGTAATTTGAAGTTTACTCCAGCCCCAAGGCAAACTAGTGAACAAGAGCTCCAAACATCTGTGGGCTCAGATCTCATCTCTTCCACTTCTTCTCTGTGTGACCTTGTATCCTGTAAGCCTCGGTTCTCCCATCTGTAAAATGGGGGACCCAATAGATCCTGCCTCAGACTGACGAGAGAAAGCAGACAACGTAGAGAGTAGCACAGAACCTGATTCCAAGGTGGGCCCAATGAATGTGAATGCCTTCCCTTCCCTTCCCAGGCCCCTTTTGGCTGGGCCTGTAAAGGTGGGGGGTGGCTGGGAGTCTAGCTGGGAGTCTAGCATCTAGGATGTCACTTAGGGCCTACCTGGGATCCTGGTCAAAGGTGAACTGGGTTCCTTGACCATGGTGAACATCCCAATCCACGATAAGGACCCTGTGAGGAGGACAGAGGACGACACTGTGTAAGAGGATCAAGACGTATCTGGGGAGGTGCCCAGACCAGGATACCCCATGCCACCCCCATCATACCCTCCCTGCTACTTGCTGCTGACCTCTGAATGTCATGCTTCTGTTGAGCGTAGCGGGCAGCCACGGCCACGTGGTTGAACATGCAATACCCATCCATAAGACTGTGCTGGGCGTGGTGTCCAGGAGGCCTGGGCAGGACAGGGAAGGCCACAGATTGGGGGTAGGGGGCCCTCCTCTGCAGAGATGGACTCTTCCCTTGCTCCCCAGTTCTAGACCACCAACTCCCCCAGTGCCGATGCCTACAAATCTGCCAGGAACTGAGTAATTGGCCCCCAGACTCTCACCCCCACTCTACTGCTCTCCCCCAAAGGAAATTTGATAACATTTCATTAAAGTTATCAATGCGTAGTGCTCACGTCAGCAGCACATATACTAAAATTGGACCAATACAGAGAAAATTAGCACAGTCCCTGCACAAGGATGACACAAATTTGTGAAGTGCTGCTTGTTTTTTCACTATATTGTACACCTGAAACTAATAAAATGCTCTATGTTAACTACACTGGAATTAAAGCCTCAAAAAAAGTAAAGTAAAAATTATCAATGCAGACACCCTCTACACCCATTCTGCTCCTGGGGATGTAGCCCATATTAAATATTAAAAAAAAAAAAAAGTAAAATAACATGTTTATAAATGGATAACGGTATTTGCTGTGACATGTTTTGGAAACAGCAAGTGATTGGAGAGAACCAAAATGCCTATTTCTAGGGAGCTGGTTAACTTCCTGTGCATTTGCACAGTGGAGTTCTACACAGGTGTAAGCTACCTACTGTTAGAGGAACGCTTTCCAAGGTGTAGAAGTGAAAAATGCACGGTATGGAAGAAGCGTGTTGAGTGCATTTGTGGCTAAATGCACTCCATTTGTGGCTAAAAAAGGGGAGGGAGGGGAAAGGCTGTATTTTCTGCATTTCATCAATCCTGGGATGCCAACGATGCCAAGAAATGCAGTGATTTCACATGCTAGTGATAAAACAAGATGCTGCTAACTGAATTCTGAGACACCATTGTTAAGATGAATTGGGATTTTTAAGATGATAAAATCTAGATCTTAGCATTGATGGAATATGGCATTTACTCCATGAACAGGCACAGAATGTTTCTGGGAGGACACATGAGTCACTGGTTACCATGACTACCTCCAGCAGAGGAAGCAGGTGTCTGGGGGATGGGGGTTGGGGACTTTTTTGGTACCTATTCTTGTACCTTTTGACTCTTGAACCATATGAATATACTACCCATACCAATACATTTTACATTTGAGGGAAGGAATTTACTTTAAATATACAAACCCAAATGCTGGTGGGTCCTACCTGATGATGGCCATGCCATTCCGTATCTCCTTCCCGAGGACAGCATCCACCAGCCTGAGCACAGAGCCTGAAGCCAGGCAGGCACAGGTATAGGAGTTCTGAAGAGACAGTGGGAGCCATAGAGGGAGTAAGGGGGATGGCAGCCTTGTCCACTCAGCTGCTCCTCCTCAGGACGGGATGGGCATGGGGATGGGAAATCCCAGGACTGCCACCACCCTCTGTTCTCCCAGTTCTCATCCATACCGGATGTAGATAAACTGAGTCATAGGTGTCTGCTAGGATGCGGAGCTCTCCCTCATTCATGTACTGGGTCGTCTCCATCAGGTCAATGTATTCTAGGCTGGGGACAGAGACAGGATGAGATTTAAGGGCCTGCCTCCCTCCTGGGTCTGAGTCAGGGCCCTGTCCCTTCCCCATATGAGCCGTGGTCAAGTCAGGCGCCCTCAAATGTCAATCAAAGGGAACAGCTGGGATATGGGACACATTCCCTGCTTCTTCCCTACTGCTTAATTCCAGTAATAGCCCTTGCCCTGCTCTAGCCACAATAAATCCTACCCCCAGGCCACTGGCCATACTGTGGCCTCCCTTCCCTCAGCTTCCCTCTTCACCTGACTCACTCTTTCTCAGCTCAGATGTCCCCTCTGACAGGCTAGCTTTCCTTGAATCACATCACATCAGGGCCCTTACTCTGGGTTCCTGCAGCCTCATGGGGGAAACCCCTGATCATCCTGTGTACACATCCACCATCTGTTTACACACTAGACTATAATAACAATAGCCTATCATGGGCTGATGACCTAGCAGGCCCTTCCCAAGAGCTTCTATTTACTAGCTCCCATGTGATAGGCGATTGTGAGATTTGGAGAGGCTCAGCCACTTGCCCAAGGCCACAGGACCCATGACATTCCTTCCCAAGGAATTCAATGTGCCCTGGCAGCCTCCTCCCCATCCCTACAAAGTTCCGAAGCCTTCCTTCACCTGTGCACCAACATCAGCTCGTCCTTTTCAGCAAATCGAGCCTAGGGAGACACAGAGAATAAAGTGCTGAGGCACCAGCCACACCCAGGCTACGCCAGCTTCTGCCCACCACCCAGTGTCTCCGCTGGGGCGACTCACCTGAAAGGACACACAGCGGTCCAGGAGGCCCTCCTGGATCAGCTGTTCCTTGATGGCATGGAGCCGTTCAGGGCCTTCAGGGAAGCTGGGTTGACAAGAGACACGCACACGCACACGGACACTGGTGAGCATCACATCTGTTCCTGCACATCTTTCCCATCCACCTTTCCACAGCTGCTCGTGCCAGAATTCTGGAGTCATCCCTGGCACCTGATGGTTCTGCTCTCGCGATAGATCCAGAACCTGCCCCTCGCCTTGTCGCCCCCACTGCTGCCACCAGAACCTCCCACCTGTGCTGCTACACTCAGGTCCTCACTGGTCTCCCTGCTTCTGCTCCCGCTCCCCCAAAAGTCCTTCCTCCACACAGCAACCAGACATTGGTTAAAACCCAAATCAGGTCATGTTCCTCCTGTACTTAACACCTTCTCATGGCTCCTCTCTCATTCAGAGTCAAAACCGAAGTCCTCTCCATGCCCCAGAAAGCCAGGAAACACTTGCCCCTTAGCCTCTTAGATACCATCTCCTAGGCTCTCCCCTCACTGACTCTGCTTCTCCTGTACTGGTCTCCTCCCTGTTCCTCACTCAAACCAAAATACTTTTCAGCTCTCTTCCATGCCTGTGTTTTTAAAAACAGGTCCTGGCCTCACAAACCATGAGATCATGACCTGAGCCAAAGTCTGATGCTTAACCGACTGAGCCATCCAGGCACCCCATCCCTGAATTAAAAAAAAAAAAAAAAAAAAGTTTAATGTTTTATTTATTTCTGAGAAAGAGATGGGCAGCGTGCACAGGGGAGGGTTAGAGAGCGAGACAAAGAATCCAGCAGGCTCCAGGCTCTGAGCTGGCAGTCAGCAGAGCCTGACGCGGGGCTCGAACCCACAAACTGTGAGATCATGACCTGAGCCAAAGTCAGACACTCAACCGACTGAGCCACCCAGGCACCCCTCCCTGCATTTTTAAAAACACTCTCCTCCCAGGGGCATCTGGGTGGCTCAGTCAGTTAAGCATCCAACTCTTGATCTCTGCTCAGGGCATGATGTTGCAGTTTGTGAGTTTGCGGCCCGCATCAGGCTCTGTGCTGACAGTTCAGAGCCTGCTTGGGATTCTATCTCTGCCCTCCCCTGCTCTCCCTCTCTCTCAAAAAATAAACTAAAAAGCAAACCACTCTTCTCTCAGATGTCTCCATGGCTCGCTCCCTCACCTCCTTCAGATCCCTGCTCAAAGATCAGAGAGGCCTTCCCTGACCGTCCTATTTAAAACTGGATTCCCCTGGGGTGCCTGGGTGGCTCAGTCAGTTAGACGTCCAACTTTGGCTCAGGTCATGATCTCACGGTTCATGGGTTCAAGCCCCGCGTCGGGCTCTGTGCTGACAGCTAGCTCAGAGCCTGAAGCCTGTTTTGGATTCTGTCTCTCTCTCTCTGACCCTCCCCTGCTCATGCTGTGTCTCTCTCTCTCAGAAATAAACAAAACATTAAATAAATAAATTAATTAATTAAATAAAACTGGATTCCCCTTGGGGCACCTGAGTGGCTCAGTCGGCTGGGTATCTGACTTTGGCTCGTGTCATGATCTCATGGTTTGTGGATTTGAGCCCTGTGTCAGAGCCTGGATCCTGCTTCAGATTCTGTGTCTCCTTCCCTCTCTGCCCTCCCTGCTCACGCTCTCTCTCTCAAAAATAAACATACATTAAGAAGAAAAAAACAACGGAATCCCCTCAAACACATTTTCTGCCACTCTCCTTCCTGCATCAGTGTTTCTATGCAACACCTCTTTCTAACACTCAACATTTTCCTTTGGCTGGTTGACTGTCTTCTCCCTCCAGAATGCAAGCCCCATGAAAGCAGGGGTTCTGTTTGTTTTGTCTACTGTGGTGTCCCTAGCTCTTTAGGAGATGGTAGGTATGTATTCAATAGTGAAGTTTTTTACCATCATGAGTCTTCTGTTGGGATAAGAGAGACCAATATAAAACTGCTAAACACATGAAGTATGACAGTGAATGAACAGTGACACCAGCTGGGACTATCCCAATGATCAGGTGGGTGGCCAGGCAAAGCCCTCTGTGAGGAAGTCTCCTTGCGAGGTGAATGTTGACGGGGAGAAGAGAAGGTGGAAACGAATCTCTAAAAAAGGGACCGGTCAGGGAAAAGACCCAAGCTGAGAGGGCCTGGCATCTTGGAAGCCCAGCAAGGGGACCAGTGTGGGTGAACTGAAGCAAAGCGAGTGAGGGGGAAGATTGGCTAATGAGGTCACCAAAGTGGTGTGGAGCCAGATCATGTGGAACCTTAGAGGCCAGAATGAAGAATTTGGACTTTACCTTGAGGGCAACGGCAAAATCCTGAAGGAATTTAAGAAAGAGAACATCACTGAAACTAACATAACACTGTATGTCAACTGTACTTCAATTTAAAAATGTAATTAAAAAAGAAAGAAAAAGGGGGTGCCTGGGTGGCTTAATTCATGATCTCATGGTTCGTGAGTTTGAGTCCTGCATCAGAGTCTCTGTTGTTAGCACGGAGCCTGCTTTGGGTCCTCTGCCTCCCTCTTTCTCTCACCCCCCCCACCCCATCAAAACCAAATAAAAACATTTTTAAAAATTAAAAAAAAGAAAGATAACATCATCTCGTACATATATATTTTTGGCTTCTTTGTGAAGAACAGGCAGCAGGGCTGAGGGCTGAGGCTGGAAGAAGGGGGCCGGTGAAGAGGCCTCGGAAAGTCTAGGGGAGTGATGGTGATGGTGGCAGGGGAGGCGGTGAGGAGAGATCAGATACTGAATACCCTTCTAACATAGAGCCAAGAGAGTTCGCTGATGGATTTACATGTGAGCAAATGGGAGGCATAATTCTGCCATTTCAGCATGAGTGTCCTTTCTTCAAGGGAGTCTTCTGTGACCCCTGGATGCTAGTTTAGGGTCCTAAACATTCTTGAATCCCCTGGTCTTAGGTCATCTTTCATCAAACACCTCACACTGCTGTTGGCTGTTTGATGACTGGCTCTCCTACTCAGCTTTCAGCTCCATGAGAAGG